GGAACTTTGAATTGTTCGAGTCCCCCAAAATCTACCAGTGACAGAGACTAAATAGTTGCTCTACCTACCAAGTTAACCAGTATCAATGTCAAACAATGCTTCTTCTTTGAACTGTAATATGCCATGTTAAGAAATAAAAAACATAGAAGAAATACATTTACAGAACATGGCAGCTGAACAGAGGCATCATTGACAATTTAGGGTCAGTCGTTAACTTGTCTAAATTGTAAATCCTATTTTTGTGTCAAAATTAAAACCAAAAGAGAGCCTAAAATATCCAAACAGCAAGTTATTCCGAATTGGCTCTGTTCAGCAGCCCAAGAATGACCCTTTATCAAATTGCATCGGGATTCTTGTCTCTGGTGCATGTAATATGACAGTCCAAAACTAAAGTAAATTTATATTTTAAAATAGACAACAGAAGATATTATTTCTGCAAAGGAGAAGAAGATGGAATTACCATTCTCAGTGTTGCAATAAAATGTACTCCCATATCTAGTATGAAACCACCCTACAAAAAATGGAAAAATTTCAGTATATGACCATGAAAGTTGTTGGTTCAGCCAATATAATTGGAGAAAAAAAGAATTTAGGAAATGATACAAATAAATCATATAATAGTTCAGATGCACCATACTAGCAACCAATACAAGTTATAGGAGTAAAACTGCACAATGGCCTTGACTCACATATGTCAACAGTATCGGACAACCTAACTATAAAAATGGAATGCAATTGATATACACGTGCAAACATTTTCAGTTTTCTAATAGATCCTTTCGGTTTGTAAATATCAACCTAAATTGTTCAAATTTAATGAAATTTGTTATACTCACAGCAAAGTTATGTCTCCAAGAAGTGGAGAAGTAAGGACTTGAGCTATTCATTGGTACTTCAACAATTATCTGAAAATTCACCATATCTCCAATTTCGGCCATTAGTTTTGTGCCCTGTGAAGTCGACAATTATCTCTTTAACAAGCCATCCACCAAAGGAGTAAATCAAGCAACCCAAAACTAGAAGCATTTAGTACCTCCACAAAAGCAGGTTCAAAACGATAGTTCTCGGCAACTGCCCAAATTGGCTTGAAAGGCAAGGTGGTGCTTAAAGAACTATAGAATGACAATGCAGTTTCCACCTCACTAAGTGCTGCATATATCACCCATTACTTTCGGTTATTATATACAAAACTTTAGGAATGCACATAAATAGAAATTATAGCTATAGTACTTACAAGCTGCTGCCGGTTTCTCTTCGGAAGCCGAAATAGCCAA